AGAGGGATAGTACAGCAGGCAGGGCATCTGCCTTGCATGAGGCTGCTGCAGGCTGGATTCCCGGCATCCAGTAAGTGCTTTGATCCCACCAGGAGATCCCTGAGCTCAGAGCCAGAAATCAGCCCTGAGCTGGGTGTGTCCCCCAAACAAACAAAAATGTTGACCCCCTTTTTACTACTAGTCAGAAAATTTCCACATCAACACAACTTTGCTCTCCTGCAGCCAAATTTCCCATATTAACATACCAGAAATGATAACCTCGAGACCCAGTACAGTGAATAGAGAAGTGACTGATACTAAGATGGCATACACATGGTGCGTCGGGGTCCTGGCCAGTTGACCCTGGCAAACTGGAGTATGATTCCCCGAAGTCGCTGGACTTAGTCCCTAGAGGGGAGGGAGTGAGTAAGGAAAGAAGCCTCTGACCTGGCCCTCTGCGCACTGCTGGAAAGAAAGCCACAGAAGCGGGGAGTCTGGTGGTCAAGCAGCCCTCCGTTTATTGGCCTCCACACCAGGGTTCTTATACACACACTCAGGGGGGCATTCTCTCTTAGGGCTCGGTACAGATGTCAGTTCATGATTTACATCTCCTGCCCTTAGGGCCGGGTTATCAGTATGGGGAGGTGGTCACGGTCACGTCCCTCATCCTCAACCAGAGTGCCTATGTGTGGGGAGTGCTGGAGTGAGCCCTTGGGCCTCTGTAAACAGGGCGGGCTCTTGCTTCTAGGGGCAGGGGATTTGGTCAAATTCTCAGGCTAGCTGCTGAGACCCCAACAATGGTGGGCATGGAGTGCGGACTTCCCTATGACGAGATGTCATGAGGACTAGCTGTGCAGCACTGTTGTCCCGTTGTTCATCGATTTGCCCGAGCAGGCACCAGTAACGTCTCCATCGTGAGACTTCTTGTTACTGTTTTGGGCATATCGAATATGCCACGGGAAGCATGCCAGGCTCTGCCATGTGGGTAGGATACTCTCGGTAGTTTGCTGGGCTCTCTGAGAGGGATGAAGTTATCACACCAGGGTCGGCCACAATAATACCCACTGTGCTATCGCTCCAGTCCGTCATGAGAACATGTTAACAAAATTATTTCGGTCTTGGAGCAAGAGAGATAGTACAGCAGGTGGGTCACTTGCCTTGCCCACCCCGAGCCTTTTCCCAGCACCCCATATGGTCCCCCAAGCACCACAAAGAATGGCCCGGGTTGCAGAGCCAGGAGTCAGTCCCAAGCAATGCCAATTGTGGCCCCCAAGTAAACAATATTGAGGTTTTTTGTTTTTTTTTCCTTTTGGGTCACACCCTGCAATGCTCAGGGGTCACTCCTGGCTCTGCACTCAGGAACCACTCCTGGCGGTGCTCGGGGGACCATATGAGACGCCAGGGATTGAACCCTGGTTGGCCGCTTGCAAGGCAAAGCCCTACCCGCTGTGCTATCACTCTGGCCTCTTAGGTCTTTGTTTTAAAATGTAGGAAAACTGCTGTTTATTCAGCCATTGATTAAGCTGATTGAATTGATCATGAACTCAACATTATTTTTTTTTTATTGAGTCACCATGAGATAGAGTTACAGAGCTTTCATGTTTGAGATTCAGCCGTACAATGATTGAACACCCATCCCTCCAACAGTGCCCACTTTCCACCACCAGTGTCCCGAGTATATACGCCCCCCTCACCCCATCCCAGTCCTCACCCTGCCTTCATGGCAGGCAATTTCCCCAATACTCTCTCTACTTTTGGGCATTATGTTTTGCTCAAATTTTCCCACCACTGGGCTGGAACAATAGCATAGTGGGTAGGGCGTTTGCCTTGCACGCAACCAACCTGGGTTCAATTCCCAGCATCCCATATGGTCCCCTGAGCACCGCCAGGGGTAATTCCTGAGCACAGAGCCAGGAGTAACTTCTGTGCATTGCCGGGTGTGACCCAAAAAGAAAACAAAAAAAGAATTTCCCACCACCATTCAAGCCTGCCTGCCAGGGGCAGATGCTAGATCATTTATTGTCCGTTGCTTGTTTTGAATATCTTGGGGGCTGTAGCCATGCGCTTCTAGAATCCTAGATTGTAAATGGTTGGGTTCCAGAGACATTTCTGTAGGGCAATAATCCACTTTGGGATTCAGTGGGGTGTCTCTGGACCAGGGCTGTTGGTGTGCTAAGATGGTGCTGCTCAGAGGCACATTGTGGGTGGGTGTGACAGCCAGGCCGACGAGTGGGCAGGGAGCCAGGGAGGGACAGCCTGGCACCTCTGCTGCCATGCGGCATGGAGATTTAGTCTTGGAACCCGCATGCGTGGGCGTTGCTTGTGGAAGCTTTTGGTCACCGGGATTCCACCCGGAGTAGGCGGGGAGATTGCACCTGCTTCATCTGAGGTGCCTCAGTGAAATTGGCTTAATATGGGGTCTCGGGAGATCTCTGGCTCTGTGGTGTCTTCTGGGACTTGCTGCTGTGTCGCTGGCTTTTGATCCCTTTCGAGATTTATTTATGGGCCTCTGAAGCAAGGCCCAGTCATAGCGTTTACAGGGTGGCGCTGAAGTTGGTTAGTGGAGGTGACTGCCAGTGCTTCCATGTGTACTGGGAAGAGGGGGGATATAACCCACCCCAACTCCGTAAAATCCTGGAGATTTCAGACACAAGATCCGCATACTCGAATTTTTAGCAGATTATATCTTGGTGAGGTCTGTCCTGAGATGGAGACAGGCTGGGGGTATGGCGGTGATTTTGGATTGTAGAAGCAAGCGGCTGCTGGGAACTCTGCTTGGACAGGCACAGGCCAACCTGACCCCCTCTGACTTACTCCAGTCTGTTCAGCCATGCACGGGTCCGAGATTAATTGTGGCTTTTGATGTCTTTCAAGATTTATCTATGGGTCTCTGAAATAAGGCCAATAATGAGCTTGTATAGCTGAGCCGGAGGTGGTTTGTGGGCGTGGCTCCCATGTACCTAACTTTTGGCCGTTTAATTTCTTGGTAAACTTGGTCCCAAGTTTTTGGGGTCTGGCCAAAGACACAGCGGCAATTTTGAGGTGTCAGGAAGCCTGAAGGCACCATCAGGCTGCTGATGCACTTGCTCTGCAGGTACAGGTTGACCTGTTGGCGGCACCATACCCTCTAATATTTAGGTCTTTCGGAAGAGGAAGTCACCTAGAAGGACTAGAGACTGTCAGGTGGGGGCTGACTAATAAAGCTCCAAATTCCTGATGGCTCCTTCACGAGCTAAAAGCTGGGCTGGCCTTAGTAACCTGCTGAACCGGTAACCTGTCATTCTAGAACTCCAAGATGAGGTCACAAGGTGTCTAGGAATGGGTGGAGAAGAGGTCACTCTGGTTGACACTGGGGTCAGCTCTCCTGTCATCCTTGAGTGTTATATGAAGCATGAAGGGACTGATTCTAGTTCAACCTTGTCAGCAGCAGACTTCTCTCTCTCGCTGTCTCTCTCTCTCCCCTTCCCTCCCTCCACTCCCGGAGCTATTCCTGCCCTGGCAGAGCTCAGGAGACAATATACTGGGCCAAACCTGTGGTGCTCAAGGCTTACTCCATTTGGGGTGCTGGGGATTGAACCTGGGTCAGCCACATGCAAGACAAGTGCTTTACCTGCTGTACTGTCTCTCTGGCCCCGAAGCCTTTTCTTGCCAGTTGTACTGATTCCTGGTCCTCAAAATTGTGAGATGCAATTAATGGTTGGTTTCTAGCTACTAAATTTTCAGGTAGTTTTCTCGGTTTTGTTATTTTGTGCCACACCTGACTCTGCTCAGGGCTCACTCCTGTCTCTGTGCTCAAAGATTACTCGTGGCTGTGTCCAAGGGACCATATGTGGTGTCAGGGAGAAGCCCTATCGACTAAGTATCTCCCCAGCCCAGAATTTTCTTGTTCTAGATACTAAGGCTACTTGGGAGCAAATACCATCTTCTTCTTCACTGTCTCCTGGGCATTTAAAATGTGCAGGATACTGGGATATGCCGCCCCTTTCCTCAGAGCCTGTGTAATGGAAACTGCTCGACTAATGGTCGGCCTCACAGGTGGACCACTGAGGACTAGTAAGAACGAGGACCTGACAATAGTGACGTCCATGTTGGATTACAGAAGCCAGACACAGGCAGTTCAAATAGCAGATATCCCAAAGATAGGGCGGTAAGAGATGTGATCAGAGAGGCCTCCTGGAGAGACAGCACAGCAGTGGCATTTGCTTTCCATACAAGACCCGGGTTTGCTCCCTGGCACCATGTATGGTTGAGCACGGCAGGGAAATTCCTCAGTGCTGAGCCAGGAGAACCCTTGAGCACCACTGGGTGTGGCCCAAAATCAAAATAAAAAGGCAGAGAGGGGCCTTTGCTTTCCCTATGGAGTCCCACTAAAGGTTCCGGCCACGGGCAGAGAACGCCACCAGGTCACCAGGTCGATGGAACCTCAATTCATTACCTTCCAGGCTGGTGAATGACTGTATTGGTCCACATCCAGGATTTTAGACTTGATTTCTTGTCCCATCAGCTATGTAATTTTTGTTCTTTTTTTCTTTTTGGGTCACACCCAGCGATGTTCAGGGCTATTGTTCTGCATTCAGGAGTTACTCCCGGCGGTGCACAGGGGACCATGTGGAACTGACCGCGTGCAAGGCAAATTCCCTCCCTGCTGTATTGTGGCTCCAGCCCTGTAATTAGTTCTGACATACTTTTCTTTCCTTGACACTGGGTCTACAGACGGAGTCTGTGGCAGCCTGGCCACTACCTATCAGCAGCCATCCAGGAAGAGCGTCATGGAATTCAGGAGACTAAAGGCACAGGGAACCCCCAGTGATTTCTAGCTGGCTGCTTCAATTCTATCCTGGAATTAGCAAGATGCTTCTTGGTGTCTCCCAAGTCTTTCTCTGCAAAAGAGAAATTCCTTTTCTCTCCTGCAAGGTCCTGAGTTCTTTGAAAGGTAGCTCAGTGTTGGTATTTGGTCCTCTAGAGTGAAATATTCTGAGAAAATGAACTGATACCCATATATTCATGCGAATACATTTTATAGGAAGAAAAGATTGCTTTTATTTTTGAATTTTTAGAAGTGGTTTTCAGAAAAAAACAAACAACAAAACATCAACAGCATATTGAATAACTGGAATTATTCACTGAATAGGAAGAAAGTCTGACTGTGTCTCATTCTGAAAGCAGGAATCACTTTGCAAACGTCCCTCACTGAAGCAACCGGCTTTTGACTACCTTTTCTAAGTTTGATGAACTTCCTCTCATAAAAGTGTCACAAATGATGGGGGGCCAGTATAAGGGGTCACACTCTTGCATGCTCACACATGCAAGGCAAGTACTCTATGGCTAAGCTGCATTCCTGGTCCTAACACATGATGGGCTTTTTTATTTTGGAGGGGGAGAAGGGATGCCAAACCCAGCAATCCTGGGGACTCCTCCGGCTCAGGGAGGCAGGCTCCTCATGACATGCTTTCACATTAAGACTATCCTTGAGGGCTGGGGCAGATCTTGAAACTCTGCAATTATAAGACAACAAGTTCAACACTATTGCAAATTATGATACTTCAATTAAAAAAAAAAAGACTATCCTCAGAGTAGCTACTTGTGATATGCAGAACACGTGACTGGCTTTCAAAATAAAAAAGAGAAGCTGTGCATTCGCATTCTTTAAATATGAAAAGCTACACTCATCTTCCTCTATGAAAACAATCAGCAAGCTATGTGCAGGTACAATTATTTCATTGTACTTCATACAATTTTTATTTTTTTGGGGGGGAGCTGGGGTACACCCAGCGATGCTCACAGGCTACTTCTGGATTTGTGATCAGGGTCACTCCCTAACACTCTGGGGCCGTGTAGTTCCAGACCCCCCAGGCCTGCTCTGCATGGAGCCGCACCTCCAGCCCTCCTCAGACTCTGGGGCAGCGGAAACAAACCAATCTTGCCTCGCACGGCGCTCGTCGTCTAAAACAAAAAGCCTTCTCCATTACTATGAAATGCGATCAAACGAAAATCACGAGTGTCCAAGCACATGAAAGAAGTCATTACTGACTGATCATTTTTGCGAGCGGAAGATCTGATCACAATGAAAGAAACACGCAAAATGGAAACGGTGGGTGAGCGAGACTGCTCAGTGGTCTCGGGGGCCCTCAGCGAAGGGTGACCAGCTCCTCCGAGGAGGTGGGGTGAATGGCCACGGTGTTGTCGAAGTCGGCCTTCGTTGCGCCCATTTTCACGGCCACGGCAAAGCCCTGCAGCATCTCATCACAGCCGATCCCCTGCATGTGGATCCCGATCACCTGGGGAGCGGAAGTGGGGGGACAGGAAATGAAGACAATTGTCAAACGAGAAAAATGTGTGAGGTCCCGAGTCATGAGAAGTACCTGGGATTTATGAAACTAAAACTTTCTTTCTGGTAGGCCAGATAGTCCAACAGGCCTGGATTCTGATTCTGCATTCCTCCCACCCAGCGATGCAGTGGGTGACTCTGCACTCTGGAACTAATCTCGGCAGTGCCCAGGGGGCCACATGGGGTGCTACATGCAAGCCATGTGCCCTCCCCACTGTGCTCTCTCCAGCCCGAAGCATCCCTGGCCGGAAATTTCTCGTCACCCCTCCTCAGGTTCTCATTCTCCATCTCTTGAATTCTCCTTCCATTCTCTGCTCACTCTGCTTCCTCTGCATTCTTCCCTCTGTGTGGACTATATTTCTTTTCTTCACTTTCTGTCTTTTTTTTTTGTGGGGGGGGGACTTGGAGATCATACCTGGTGGTGCTCAGGGGACCATACGGGACCCCAGATCAGCCACGCGCAAGGCGAACATTCTACTGCTGTACAATCACTCCAGCCCCTTGCTCCCTTTTTTTTTAATAAAAAAGAAACTTCACTTAAAGGGGAGAAGTGGCATCATGGGCTGAACACCCACACTGCATGCTGGAGGCCAGGTTCAAACCCCAGCACACTGTCCCCTAACACCAATGGGGTGGCCCCAAACGAACGAATAAAAGCATTATACGGGGGGGACGGGGGGGACAGAGAGATAGTCCAATGAACAGAGTGTCTGCCCCTGTGTTTAGTGAGGCCCACCAGGAGTGAGGGAGCCCCGAGCACGGAGCTCCACAGGAGGCCCACATTCAGGGGAGCAAGCGGGCTTCACCAGAGGGAGACGAGCTCTAGGAAGAAGACAGGAATTCCACGTTGGGATTGGGGGGTCCCCACGTGGAGCGCACAGCCTCGCTCTTCAGAGTGAAAGCCAGGCCGGAGTGCCAGCACAGTGGGGCGGGCGTGTGCCTCGACTTGGGTTGCATCCTGGGGACCCCATACGGTCTCCGGACACAGCCAGGAGTGACCCTTGAGCGCAAAGCCAGGAGTAAGCCCTGAGCACCACTAGGTGCGCCCTCACCCCCCACCCACCACCTCGAAGTGTTTTTTCAGCTGCAGTGGCAAAGCTGCTCTTTCCAGGGGACAGACAACCGCAGACCTTCTTAATTGTATTTATTCATCACTGCTGGGGGGGCGGGGGGCGCGGGGGGGGGGGGGTCCTGCACTGGACGGCCTGCAGCAGAGCGGCACAGAGACAGCTCCGAGACATGCAGCCCACGCGCGTCTACTGGCTACAAAAGCACATTTCCCAAGAGTGAGCTCAACACTTTTATTGTGCTTTGGGGGAGGCACCCCAGGGTGCTCAGGGCTTACTCCTGACGGTGATGGGGACCAGAGAGGGTGCCAGGGACCAAATCTGGACAGCCCCAAATCAAGACAAGCGCCCAACCTACTGTACTATCTTTTAGCCCCTAATTATTACTGAGTTCTTTGGTTTTTTTTTTTTTTTGGGTCACATCCTGGCTCTGCAACTCAAGAATCACTCCTGGTGGTTGTCCAAAGCAAACAAAAAAATTATGTTACTCAAGAATAACATTGTTATTGTAAGCCTTATAGATTGTAATTGGCTCACATCCACCCCTGGATTTAGTTCAAAAAAATGCTTTTTATTTTGTTTTTGGGCCACACCCAGCAATGCTTGGGGGTTACTTCTGGCACTGCACTCAGGAATTATTCCTGGCAGTGCTCTAGGGACAATATGGGATACTGAGGGACACAGTCCAAAACTCTTAATGACTGCCCACTCCAGATGAACCTTGACTGGCTACAAACTTCCAGAAGAAAAGCCCAGGTATGCGGGAGCAGGGCCTGAAGACACCAGGCACAAGGCGGAGTGGGGACAGGCCTTTCCTCCACATCTCCCCACCGGCTTGGGGTCCAGGCTGTCACACCCACAAACTGCCTCCGGGCACCGTCTCAGCACATCAATGACCTGATCCAGAGACTCCCAAATGAAGCGCAAAATGGACTAGTTCCCAAAGAGAGGTCTCTGAACCCCAACCACTTACAATCTTAGGATTCCAGAAGTGGACATGCAGCCTTTCATGATATTCATAATAAGCAAATAAATAAATAAATAAATAAATAAAGCCTCTAGCATCTGCCTGTGGCAGGCTGGGTTGAACGGTGATGAGACAATTCGAAATAATGGTGGTGGGATTGGTGTTGAAGTACTGAATGCAATCAATGTGAACAACCTTATGAAAATGAAATTCAAAAATTGAAAAAAAAAACTCTTAATGCTCTTTCCATTGGGAATCAGGTGAACAAGACCACCTCAATTCTGCAATACACTGTGTCTGCTATTTTTATACAACGAAGCAATAATTTTGCAGGAAAGTAAGAGTGGTATAATTATTACATATAACTGAAGAAACCAAGTTGGGGGATGGAGAGACAGTCCAAGGAGTAAGGGGCTTCCCGTGCAATGCCTGTGGAATCCCCAGCACCACTTATGGCCCCAGTAGCCCAGGGGCCACTACTGAGCAGAGAACTAGGAACAGCCCCAACCCCCCACCCCCACCCCCCAATTACATAACAGATAACTGGGGGCCAGAAGGCTCAGGGTTAGAGTGCCTACTTGCTAGCGAGAGGCTGTGCCACCTGCTTGTGCCCAGTGCAGGCCTGGTGGGCACCGAGAAGACTTGGGTGCAAGCCCCGAGGGGTAAGTGTCCAATTACTGTGTCTAACAGTGTGTGCCCTCTGGGAGTCCCATGCCGTGTTTGCAGTCTTTCTGGAGAAGGGGAAGAAGCACACATACGGTCTCCAATGGGTCTCACAGGCATGGGAAGGCCCAAGGCCCGCATACCTCCCTCCCCGGGCGCCCAGAAGACACCCAGCCTTGCCACTCTTTAGCTTACTACACTCCCCCATACCTTTTCCTCTTTGAAGGCACAAACCATTTTCATCACACATTTTGTTTTCCTTCTGGTAACAGCATGATACATTGGGGTAAAGGTGGTTGAATAGGTCTTCACATTTTCTCGTCCAAATTTATGAACGGCCTCCTCTGGGATGCACAGAGAGGGGGCAAAAATCAGTCAAGACATTTCAGCAATTACACTCACATCTACATTGGACAGAGACAGAAACCCAAAATAAGGAGGACACAGTGTATACAAAACCAGGAGGTTAAGGAATTTGGCCTCTCAAAGACGGGACCAGAGAGAGTACAGTGGGTAGGGGGCTGGCCTTGCACACGGCTGGCCCAGGCTGGATCCCGGCATTCCATATGGTCCCCAGAACCAGCCAGGAGTGACTCCTGAATGCATAGGTAGGAGTAACCCCAGAGCACCAGCGGGTGTGGCCCCAAAGCAAACAAAACAAAAAAAAGCCCCAACAAGGTACAAAATGTAACGTGATACATTATTCTGGACCGAAACCTGTGTGGGACAAAAATCAAAAATGCTTCCAAGAGAAGCTAGAGAGAAAGCTGGCGAGATGGTACAGGAGGCAGACCACTTGCCTCATGGGTGGCCTACCCGGTTGGGTCCCCAGCACATATGGTCCCCAAAGCACTCCCAGGATATGTCTGAACCCCAAACAAGCAAATAGTATTCGTGATGACTGGCCAAACTTGAAAGCAGGGCACTTGCTTTGCATGCAGCCAGCCTGGGTTCGACCCCCAACACCCCTCTGGTTCCTCCCAGCACCACCGGGAGTGATTCTTGAATACAGAGCCAGGAGGAATCCCTGAGCACCACTGAATATGGCCCCAAAAGAAAAATACAAAATGAAAAATTCCTCATTTGAAACTTGTCTGTACTGATACAAGGGAATGGCTAGTCCCTGGAGATCGAGAGTGATATGTGTGAAGAGGAAACATTAAAAAAAAAAAAAAAAGGAAAAGAAAAAAAAGTGGAGTTGGCAGAACAATACAGTGGTTAGGTTGGTTGCTTTGTACATGGCCAACCAGAGTTTGATTCCTGGAATCCCACACGGTCCCCTGAGCCCACCAGGAGTGACCGCTGGGTGCAGAGCCACAAGTAAGCCCTGGGTATTGCACATAAACAAAAACCAAAATTAATATTTTTGTTTTTTGGGTCATATCCGGCTGTGCTCAGAGCTTACTCCAGGCTCTGTGCTCAGAGGTCATTCCGAGTGAGGTTCATCAAACTATACAAGGTCCTGGGGGTAGAACCTGGTTCAGAAATGTGGAAGGAGCTACCCACTGTACCACCTCTCTGGCCCTACGGCTCGGTTTCATTCAAACAGGCTGGAGAAATAGCACAGGGGAGGCACCTGCACAGCATGCCCGGATGGGGGACAGCATCACCTCAGCACCTCTGGAGGACACTCCTGCCCACCACTGAGTGTGGCCCCAACTCCCCATCTCCAATTAAAACAAGACAAAACAAAAAAAAAAACCGAATGAAAAGAGCCAAAATAAACAGTCAGAAAAGGTGATGTAAGGAAAAGGATTTAGAAGTAGCCGAGGGTACTGGAAAGAGGTTAAGCACAAAGCAGTGTCATCAAGGACAGGGTCAGATGGAGGAGACGGACACGAGGCTGCCTGCTCCCAGGAACCCACCTTCGGTGAGCCCCACCGTCCCGATGGGTGGGTGGCTGAAGACCACGGTGGGGATGTTGTCGTAGTCCAGCTTGGAGTCCTTTTTGCATTCAAACAGCCGATGGGCAAGTTTCCGGCCGGCAGCGATGGCAACTATCGAGACATCACCAGGTCACTGTTTAGGGCCCTGGTCGTGAACGGCAGGGCGGATCTACCGACTGTCCCTACCAGGTCAGGACACTAATTCTGACAAAACCCTGCTTTTTGAAACCGCTTTTATTGAAGGGCCAGGATTTACAATACTGTCCATCACGTATCACGTGTGCGCGTGTGTAGGGGGTAACATGGGTAACACTTTCACACACAGAGTTGAATTAAGCCTCTGTGTGTGTGTGTGTGTGTGTGTGTGTGTAGGGGGGTTGAATGAAGCCAGTCTCCTGAAATCTTACAAAACTGCAAACCAATGAAGCTTACATAAATCCTGTACATTCTAATATTACCCAAAACTGGGAAAGAATAAAAAAAAGCACACTTAGAAGTTCCCAATCCTCAGTAGTTATCTACTAAAGAGCTCTGGGAAGAAACATTCACAGAATGAACATATTATTAATTTCAAGTGTCTCCACTAGTACTGAAAACCCAATTTCACAGTATGATGTTTAACAGCTTTTTAAAAATCATTTTTTATATAATGTTATTTACTTACTTCGGTGCTGAGGATCAAATCTACGGTCTCATGAGCAAGAGCTCGACCACTCAGCTGTACAGCCATGTCCTATTTTTTAAATGTGTCTTTTAATGTTTTTTCTGGGGTGGGGTGGGCTGAGGGGTGGGGGTCGGCAGGAATCGAGCCCAGGCCTCCTGCTTAGAAACCACACATCCCCAGTCCCAACATCTTAGTTTTTACATTTCACTCTTCTTGGTCTGTTTGCATTCTTGCACTTAGGAAACTACGTCTGAGCTCAAAATGGTATCAGTCGTTAATTTAACTCATTTCAAGATGAGAACGCTTCCCCCCAAACAAGACGAATGGGACGCATATGAATTTCGATCCACGTCAACATGATTTGGGACTGTTTACTACGGCAGAGGTTTTTGAAATGTTGCTTCCTCATTTTGTGTGTCCCGCCACTCACATACACTCAGCTGAAGCGACTGAACCTGATCTCCTGCATGCAAACCCCACCCCCAAGCCTATTTTGCCTTTGTTGGAACTTTGCTCAAGTGCTTGCTTCAAACTTTCATTCTGAGGCGAGACCATGAGCCATTTTGGAAAGGCTGGTGAGTCCCATAGGGAACAAGGCACAAGCCCAACTGGGGCAAAGGGCTTGACATGGTGCCAGTTAACTTGGGAAGGAGGCTAAAGAGTGAAACTGTGGGGGGGACTCTTGCTTAAATCAAGACTAAATAAGCATGTAACAAACACATGGAGCCGGAGCGATAGTACAGCGGGTAGGGCGTTTACCTTGCATGTGGCCGACCCGGGTTCGATCCCCAGCATCCCATATGGTCCCCCGTGCACTGCCAGGAGTAATTCCTGAGCATCGCTGGGTGTGACCAAAAAGCCAAAAACAAAAACACGTTTCTTATACGGCCATCTAAGAACACCACTGCTGGGGCTGGAGACACAGCTCGAGGGACTGAGCACACGCCTGGCAGGCAGGAGGCCTGGGTTTGATCTCCCCAAGCACAGAGCTGGGAGAAGACCCTGAGAATGCTGGTTACAGCCCCCAGCGAAGAGAAACGAATGCCAGTGTAAATCACTTCTTCCCAAAGCTTCCCAAAGCTCCTTCTACTGTCGCACACAAGTCAGATAACTGTCTCCTACGTGAAAGTGTCAGCCTTCAATCAGAAGTGCTTAAAACCTCTTAAAAATGCACTTTCAGGCTCAGCCAACGCCTCTGCTGAATCTGATTTTATCATTTTGACAGTAGGACACTCATTCTCTAAGTGTGTGTAGACAGATTTGTCAGAGTAGAATGGAATACAACGGACTCACATAAATACATGGGTGTAACACATTTTATGTAACACAGACTCCTCCTCCCCGACCGGAGAAAAGCTGCACATTACCTGGAGTAAGAAGGGCTTTCCCACACACATCCCCGACTGCGTAGACGCCTTTGATGCTGGTGTTCTGGAACTCATCTACTATGATATGACCTTTATCATCAATCTGAACGCCCTAGAATGGGGAAGGAACATCATGTAAGCATTTGTCCAGTGAACGAAACAGCAGACAAGAATCTCCAGGTCTCTCTGACCTCAGAATCCTCTCCCGCCCCAATCTCAAGGCCCAGGTCTTAACCTCACGGTCAAACCACCAGTTCATCAGCAAGTATCTGAGCTTCTAGTATAAACGAGATGCCTGCCAGTCACAGTGAATCCAGCCGCACTCCCATCCACTGAGTCTTTAAGTCTGGATGGATGATGCTCTATTACCAATGGGCTCTGGTCCTTTCAGCCTGGCCCCTTAGAGACCTGGGAGCAAGACTTAATTGGGTCAGTAACACACTTACAAGGCGAATGCCTAGGAACCAGTTCACTTACATGATATAAATATATCTTAACTTATCTTAATGCTGAATGAGACAGACCATTTCTGCTGCACTTAAAAAGAATCCGGCAAATCTAGCTGAAAACAGAACTAATGCCTCTCTTGAAAGGTGAGAAGCTGAACTAGTTTTGGGAATCTAAAAGACAAGTTCTACTCAGTTTTACCTAGCAACGATATGAAAATTGATTATGTCCTTGGCTAACTGTCAATCTAATCTATCTTCTCCCTGCCCCTTAGGTTCCTGGGAAGAGCCCAGGGTCAAGGCCACTCCTGTTGGCATTGGTCAACCACAAGGCTCCATGGCTCAATGCTCAGGGTGGTGACATGGTGATATTTTAGGCCCCACAGTGAATGGGGTCATAAAGGTCACCCCTAGTGGTACTTGGAGTTCCATACAGAGCCGGGGATTGAGCTGGGGTCCCTGTGTGTACAGATGTGTGGCCCTGACCGCTGAGCTATCTCCCTGCCCAAGCATGTAATTATTTTTGTCGGGAGAGCCGAGGGGGGACAATGGTGATGTGGGCCACACACCAACAGGATCATCCTGTCTCTCTACTTGGGGGTCCGCGGAGTGGCAGGGATTAAACTCGAGTCGACCCTGCAAGACAAGTACCTTCATCTTTAAATGTTAAAAATGATTATAATTTTCTGGTGGGGGGGGAGGGGGTGGTCACACCTGGCAGTGCTCAGGGCAGACTCCTGGCCCTGCAATCAGGAATCACTCCTGGCAGCTGGGAGACCATACAGGGCCAGGTGTGTGCAAGCCCTCCTCGCTGTACTACTGCTGTCCCCGACGGCACTTTTTCAAGGGTAAAACTGTCTTTTAGGCCATAGTTAACTCAATGGGCATAGACCAGCTTTGCACAGGGAAGGCTGGGGCCCCCCAGCACTGCTTGTCCCCCCAAACACCACTGGGGGTGGTCCTTCAGTACCACCATTAGCAATCCCAAAACCAGACAAACAAAACCCCTCCCTGGTTTTTAACAGAATTTTGAAAGAAGTCTTTTGTTCTGTTTTTGTTTCTGGGTCATGCCCAGTGGCATTCCGCTGCTCCTCCCGACTGTGCTCAGGAGTGACCCCTGACAGTGCTCACCAGGTGCCGGGGTTTGAATTAGGGCTGTAGCCGCTGAGCCTCACGCAAAGCACTTGCCTGACCTCCTGTCCTGTCTCTGGCCAGGAACTCATATTTTAACAGATATCCACACCTAAATGTCACACCTGCTCAAGAGACTCCATCAAGCACAAAAATTCTACTGCTATTAGAGAAGTCAGAAAAAAGACCCATCCCGTCAGTAACAGCTTAACACATATATGCTGAGTAGCCCACGCTAACCCAGCATCTAAACTCATTATGTTTTATGCGGAACATAATTACTCTTCATTATGGAGTCATTATTCTTCACTATAGGAATGAAATATCTCCTCAGTGATCTGTCATTCTAACCTATCTTCTCCCCTGGTCAACCAAGAGAGAGATGGAGGGGCCGCAGCGATACTACAGTGGGTAGGGCGTTTGCCTTGCACGTGGCAGACCCAGGTTCAATTCCCGGCAACCCATATGGTCTCCCAAGCACTGCTAGGAGAAATTCCTGAGTACAGAGCCAGGAGTAACCTCTGAGCATTGCTGGGTGTGATCCAGAAAGAAAAAAAAGAGAGAGATGGAAATAATTCTTCATTTCAGGCCAGAGACACAGTATGGTGGGAGAGACAACTGTCTTGCACGTGGCCAACCCAGGTTCAATCGTTAGCATCACATACAGTCTCCTGAAGCCCAGTCTCCAGAATGTTCTGGGCAGATTAAATCAGCTTACCACTTTTTCTAAATTCAGGCTCTTGGAATTCGGGTCGCGCCCAATGGCCCAGAGCAGGCAGTCCACGTCGGGGATTGTGCTCTCAGAGGGGTTCTGGCCAGGTTCTGAAGTTACCGTACAGAGCTCCAGGCCCGAGGAAGTCTTCTTCACTTCTTTGACCTAATGGCAAATAAAAGGAGTTAACTTGGGGGATGGGAGAAAAGAAGCAAAGCGAGTTAACCAGAGGGTCGGAGAGAGAGCCCAAGATGCAGGCACTTGCCCTGTCACGGGGCCGACCCCAACTCAAACCCTGGCACACACGCTTCCGTGAGCACCATCAGAGGTCACTCCTGAGCAGAGCTAGAAATGGCCCAGCCTCCCCCCACATACACCCGAGGGGGTGGGGGGTGGAAACTGAGCTATCGTGAACAAACCCAGGGTGGCAGCACCCAGCCCGGGGGGTGTACCTGCGAGAACTTCAGGACCTCGATGCCAGCGTTCTCCAGCTCCTCGGTGCAGTTTGAACTGATCAATGAATCAAAATTCCTCAGCACCTGCATACGAACAAGAGCGGCACAGGGAGTGGGAATGGGCAACGAATAAAGCCCCTGAACCGTGTGCTGTACCCAGGGCGGGGGAGGGCAGTGTCCGCACGACCCTTCCCCCTCCTCTTTCTGTGCTGGGTCAGGAGCCTGCATATGTGCCTCAGGTAGTGGAATCGGACAGTCTGTCTCCTCAGGAGAGGCTCTGCTCTGGAATGGAGCCGGGCCCCTGCACACAGGCCCGCGTCAGCCCCGCGAACCCGGGTCCCGCTGGCTGATACTCCACCCTGGTCATCCGCCTCACACATCCTGCTCATCCATCCACTCATCAACAGGCATTTCAAGTGTTTCCCCTTGGTTAGAGCGAACAACACTGCAGAAATCTAGACGTCATCTGGTAAATATCCAAAATATACCAGGCACTGGTAGAACTCTATGAGGAAAACAAACATCCAACCCCATCAGAAAATGGGGAGGAGAGATGAACAGAAACCTCCTCAAAGAAGGAAGACAAATGGCCAAAAGGTACGAAAAAACGCTCTATATCACTAATCATCGGGGAGATGCAAACCAAAACAATGAGATAGCACTTCACACCAGAGACTGGCACTCATCAAAAAAGAACAATCAGGGCTGGAGCAATAGCACGACGGGTTGGGCATTTGCATTTCACGCAGCCAACCTGGGGTTCGATCCCCAGCATCCCGTATGGTCCCCTGAGCACTGACAGGTGTAATTCCTGAGTGCAGAGCCAGGAGTAACCCCTGAGCAAAGCAGAGCGTGACCCAAAAAGCCAAAAAAGAAAAAAAAAGAACAATCAGTGCTGGTGTGGATATGGGGGAGAAATGGCCCCTCACTCATTGCTGGTGGGAATGTTGACTGGCCCAGCCTTTCTGGAAGTCAGTATGGTCATTCCTCAAAAAACTAGGAGTTACGCTTCGATCTGACTCAGCAATCCCACTCCTCAGACTAGGCCCCAGGGCCCAAAAGTGAAGCCATCTGCACTGCTCTGTTCATTCCAGCGCGTCTCCACAGCCCAGATCTGGAAACGAACCAAGTGCCCAAGAACAGGTGACTGGATAAAGATACGGGGCATCCACACAGCGGAGCACTGATGAGCAGAAAGAGAAGTCGTGCGACTGGCTGATACCTGACAGACGTGGAGAGCTTCGTGCCGAGTCAGGCTAGTCAGAGGGAAGAGACAAACGGGACAATCTCTCAAAAGTGGGACATAAAGAAACCTCATAAGCGAACAACCAAGTCCCAAAGGCAATAGAAACGGAGAGCAGGAGGAGAGCCAGTCTGCGTCGGGGCTGCGGAGGGCAAGTCAGGAACGGGAACAGCGTGGCAGCGTGGCACGGGGAAAAGCGCCGGCCAAGAGGCAGGCTAGGCCGGTGATGGGAGGGAAACGGAGGAAACTAGTGACGGGAAGTGGACACTGATGAAGGGATTGGTGTTGGGACACTGTATGCTTGAAACCTAACAGTGGGGACCAGAGTGATAGAAGAGTCAGGAGGGTGTTTGCCTTGCACGCAGCTGAGCTGGGTTCGATCCCCAGGATCCCATATGATCCCCTGAGCCCCACCAGGAGTGATTCTGAATGCAGAACCAGGAGTGACCCCAGAACATTGCCAAGTGGAGTCAATAAGGAATAAAAAAGAAGCTTAATAATGAATAACTTGGTAACTGTAACTTAGGGTAGCACTGTCCTCCCGTTGTTCGTCAATTTGCTCAAGCGGGCACCAGTAACATCTCCATTGTGAGACTTGTCGTTACTGTTTTTGGCATATCGAAAAAATCTAGATGTGGAAATATATTTGGTAAGTTTCCCTTGGGTCTGGAGGAATAACAGAGCGCCTTAGGGTGCCTGCCCTGCAAACACAGACGGTCATGAGCTGAATCCCCAGTGTTGCCACATGTACAATGCATGACCCTAGCAGCTCTGCTGTCTGTGATTCTTGGGGCTGGGACTTCGGGCTTTGCCACAGCCAGGCATGTGCGCACCACCAGGGGCACTGACACAGGTGAGCACCACAACCAAAAACCATACGAGCAGGCAGAGAGACAGCACGGGAGGTTCAGGTGCTCGCTTGCAAGTGGCTGACTCCAGTTCAATCCCCAGCACCATATACGGTCCCAGAGCACAACCAGGAGTGATGCCTGAGCACCCACTGAGGGAGGCTCGAAGACAAAAACAAAACTAGACAAAACACAGACACTAGCCACTACTTACAATGAAAATACTGGCCACTCCGCTCAAACAAAAATCTCTACCCACGGCAGCTGGTCCTGGGAAGGCCGGAAGGCCAATCAGGGGTGGCCTGGGAGCAGTGTCCCCCCGTCCCTACCCCCCACACACACCAGCACACCTACCACATGTCCTTAATGACAACATAAAGTTATGACTTAACATTTTTTTTTAATATTTATTCACAAAACTACTGATGACAGAGTTTCAGGTGCTTCGTGTTCCAACTCTAAACCCAGCACCAGTATCGGCGTCTCCCGGCCAGCAACTCATCCCCACTCCCTCTGCCTACCCCACAGCTTAAGCAAACTCACTGAAGAACAAAAAAACTTCACTAATGTGAATCTGAGTCACGCGCTTCCTCGAGCGTTGCCTCTCAAGGCTTGGGTGTAGACAGACAGCTCATCTCCACATCACCCAATCAAGTCGACTTTTAAAAAAAGATCAGAATCAAGGGAAGGGAAGAGAGAAAGGCAGAACTCACCTTATCGTGCCGTATCATTAGCGACGTCTTAGAACCCAGGGCTGAGAGGATCCCGGCGATCTCCACAGCGATGTAACCCGCACCGACAATGACACTGCGGCTGCAGCAAGAGCACAGGAAAAGCTTTCACTTTGCTGTTATTATTATTATTATGAGAGAGAGAGAGAGAGAGAGAGAGAGAGAGAGAGAGAGAGAGGTAAAAGAAACCATGTTTCAGGCCACGGAACCACATCTCAGGACCCAGGATAAGGATTTTAAACTACAATCTATGCAGTGGGCTGGGGAAGTGGTACGGGGTGACGGCACTTGCTCTGCAGCCAGCAGGGCACCACCAGGAATAACCCTGAACGCCACCAGACGTGGTGCCCAGACACAAAAGCTAACGAAGTTGAAAGTTGAGAATCTAGTACAGATAGTACAGATATTCCCTACCCAGTTTCTCATAATTTTTTTTCAGGGTGAGGCAGACACAGCCGTTAAGTGCTCGGGGCTTCCTCCTGGCTCTGCACTCAGGGGTCACTCCTGGTGGGCCCGGGGGACCATATGGGGTGCCGGGGATTGAACCCAGGTCAGTCGCATGCAAGGTGAGCACCACACCCGTTTTACTATCACTTTAGACCCTTGAATACTCTTTGAGGGGCATCTCCCAAGTGGCATTCTGGGGCCAAGGGGCAGCACCTGGCAACACTCAGGTGACAGTGCTCAGCCCACCTGCTGAAAGGCTCAGTGCTCAGGAACCAAGGGGCCACGCGGGGAGTGCTGGGTACTGACACATGCAACGGGTGTGCCCCAGGCTGCTGGCCTGTCCCCAGTCCTCGGAGAAAAGCCTCATGCCATCACGGTCAGCTAAGAACCCATCACCGACAACAGTACTGATCAAACGAGACTTTCTGCTTCCCAGTTTTCTCACCCATCATCTCCTTTGGTCGTTCCGGGGCCCTACTCAGGGTGATTTTTGGTAGAGTATTTCTTTGCAACAGGGGAACTATATTTCAGTTGTTTTTGTTTTGTTATGTTTTGCTCTGGGGCCACACCCAGTGGTGCTCAGGGCTTACTCCTGGCTCTGCGCTCCTGGTTCACGTGAAGGGCTTAGGGGGACCACATGGGATGCCAGGGATGAAATGCAGGTCAGCCACATGCCAAGCAAGCGTCCCCCTGAACTATCTCTCCGGCTCCTCTTTTAGTTGTTTTAAAAGATCCCTTGGGTTTACTTCTTTGGGGCGAAGGGGGAGTCCCTCATCAGTGCCTGGGGGGTTGAGTGAGGGGTTCAGTGACGCTTGGCCACTTGGCCAGGCAGATCAGAGCTCTAAGGACACATGCTCCTCGGGCGCTGGAATTGGGGAATCGGGCCAGCCCGGCACACGCAGCGGGCACCCTGGCCCCGGCACTCCCACCCCAGCACCCCGGCTTTACTTCAGAGAGGAAACAAACCTGAATCTACACAATGATCTCCGGGGCTGACTAACCCTGCACCGCCCTCCACAGCTCTGCTCCCCCCTGCCTGGGGCTCGGTTCATCCACCTGAGCAGCGGGACTCAAGGCCAGTTTCGCCGGCTACTTCAACCCCCAGGACACATCTACCATGAAACGAGGCTTCCCGAGCGCATTCTGACCTACAAAAGCACTTAAAACCCAGGTGGACGTCTGGACGAAGATCTGAAGCAAAGGTAGAGAAGCAACCTCACTCCTGACGAAACAACGCGGAGAATGTGTGCCTGCCGTATTCTGGGCTGGCCCTGAGTAGTGCTGGGACCAATACCCGCTTCCCACAGCAACCGACAGAGCCGTCTCTCTAGGGCGGAACCGTCGGTTAACTGCTGGGCCCCACACCGTGCTGGTGAAGCCTGTAGAGAGGCTGAGAGGCTGTTCCAGGGCCAGGGAGTGTGCAGGAGGGAAAGGGGCTCGCCTGGCATCCTGTGAGCCCTGTTCAAACCCCGGCACCACCAGGGACACTCCTGAGGCACAGAGGCAACAAGATCCTCCAGCCGTTGCTGGATGTGGCCCCGAAAAAACCCAAACCGTCCAAAATACCAAAATCAAACAAAAAAACCCACCCCCACCCCACTGCTCTCAAGCTTCCAGCAGGCCCTCAGCCACTGTCACCAAGCCTGGAGCAGATCATCAGGGAGAGACCCGAGCCCGGAGCCTGCACAGGGCAAGGGTCCCGCAGCCACACCGGCCCCTGGAGGGCCTGGATGGAGGAGGAGGAGCAGAGCGGAGGCCCTGCAAACCCTTCAACCCCATAAAGTAGACGGCGTCCTGCTCGGGCTCCTGGGCATGCAGCCCAAGAGCAGAGCCTGCCCAGCGGGTGGGGCCCAGCGCCTCCCCACACCACCAGTGCGCCCTGCACCGGGCCACAGGAAATGACAACCCCACCCCAGGGCACGGAGACCACGTGTGGGACCCCCGGAAACTACCATGATTGACGACAACAAAATGGAGAGAGGAGAAAATTTCCTAGCTGAGCCAGGATGAAGCGGGACCGGCTGACAGCACAGTGGGAGGCCGTTTTGCCCGCACGCTGCCAATTAAGTTTGGTTGGCAGTACTGCAAATGGTCCCCTGAGCACTGAGCACCACCCGAGTGGCCCCCAAACCAAAACTAATGAATAAGTAAAAGGATAAAACGGTTCTTCCACTGCTAATTCCCTCTCGCCCTTTTTGTTTTGTTTTGTTTTCTGAGCCACACCGGGAGATGCTCAGGGATCACTCCTGGGGGCTCAGGGGGCCGCGGGGGTGCCAGGTGAATCCTGTGAGGCAAACGCCCAGCCTGCTGTGTTACTGCCCCCACCCCTCCTCCTCCACTCCCTTCCCTCGTCCGTCTTCTCCGTCCCCAAACACTATGTGTGTCCCGCTCCTGAGAACCACTGCACTAGGCGGTGGGGGGCCCTGAAGGGAGAGGGAGGCCCAGGGATTCCCTGGGGCACAAAGGTCAAAGGCTGACCCTTGCAGGCTGGGGCAGTCCCTAGGGGCCCAGGCAGGAGAGAAGCCGTCAAACAGTGGCCTGGCACCGGCAGGTGTCCCTTCTCCTCCAGCCCCGCCTCTCCCCACTGACGTGGCCACTGAACACATCTCCCGTGACCCAGCCAGAGTCCCACAGTGTCCCACAGGGGCCACGCCTGACTGCCCCAACAACAGAGCCTGGTGAGGCCTCGAAATCAGACCTGGGCATGCGGGAGCCCTGGGTTCATCTCAAACACCGGGTGGCCCCCAAGCACTGCAGCAGTGACCCCTGAGCGCTGGTTGAACCCTCCAAAAAAGAAAGGGAAACCAAGGTCCTAAGGGAACTGTACAGCAAGCAGTGCCCTCCCTCCAGAGAAAGGACACAGCACAGAGACGCCGCTGCCTTTCCTGGCCAGGGCTTCCTGCGGGCATTACACACACGTGCACTGTAAAGCGAGCAGACAGTTTAATACTTACTGAACGTTACTTAACGGCTGGGATGCCCCATAAACCTTCTCTGAAGGTGCGTCTACAGTGAATTATTTCACTTAAACGGGATGAGTCACAACCTCATTCCTAGAAGCCGGCAGTGCCGGAGGGTCCCGGGGCGGCTCTCACATTCCCCTCCTGAGGGCAGACAGCCTGAGGGCCTGGCCTGAGGGTCCTCACAGGGGCATTTCCCCTGTAGTGAGAGCCGCAAAGACCTCTGTGGCTCCCGATGAACTCAGGGAAAGGCCTGAGCACTGTCCCCCTCCCCGAAGGTTGTTCTAAAGGGCCAGGCATAAGGCCTCAGCTGGGCTAGCAGAGTCCACCGAGGAAGCAGCTGAGCCGATCAGCAATGCACAACGGCCCGAGTGCACGTCACTGAAAGGGGCTGAGGCTGGTCTGGGCTGACTGGGGCCCCTCATTCAGTTCTTGTGTCCTCGCTTCTTTGGGAGGCTGGGGGACACACACAGCAGGCCGTGCGTGGTACTGGGGACCGAGTGTCCTGGCATATGGGGCTGGCCCCCCTCTCCAGCCAGCTGAGTATGCTCTCTCAGGAGTGAGTCGGGAAAGAGCATGCACCTGGCAGCATCTTCAGACCGGGAGAACAGGGGCTGAGGATGCGACGAAATTCGATGGAATTCAGCGGTTCGGTGCCTATTAGCATACTTCTGGTAGGTACAGCCCTGGGTCCAATCCTTGCACAGGCACCCACCCCCCCAAAACAAATAAAACCCCCCCAGCAAACTATCTTCTTATCTTTTTTTCTGTCTAAATCTGGAATGGAAGTGTTCTAAGGTTGTCTGGACAAACACAGGAAAAGGGACAATTTCAGAAAATCTTGTTTTTGTGACTCTGAGCACCCTCCTTTATGGAGACCCCCCCACCCCCGCAAAGAGCTGTTCTGACAAGGAGTCAGAGCCAGAGGGAGAGCCCCAGGTCTGCACGTGGGAGGCCCAGGTTCGATCCCTAGCACCACATGGCTTCCCACCCCCTGCCCCAGGACCCCCTGGAGTCAACCCTGAGCACTGAGCTGGGAGCTGCCCCTGAGCACAACTGGTGTGGCTCACTGAGGAAAAAAAAAAAAAGAAGAAAAGAAAGAGAACCAGATTTAGTCACGTGGATCACAACTATCAATTGGTATGAAGCACATTGAAGAAACGGGGTAGTTTTCAGGGCTTTACAATTTATTCTTCAAGATCATTCTGGGCTTGGGGCTGGAGCGATAGCACAGTGGGTAGGGTGTTTGCCTTGCAAGCAGCCGACCTGGGTTTGATTCCCAGCATCCCACATGGTCCCCCGAGCACCGCCAGGAGTAATTCCTGAGTGCAGAAACAGGAGTAAACCCTGTGTGTTGCTAGGTGTGACCCAAAAAGCTGAAGAAAAAAAAATTATTCTGGGCTTGATTCCCTTTTCTTTTGGAGGGGAGGGCCTACATCCTGTGGTGTTCAGGGTTATTCCTGACTGTACACTCAGGAATCACCTGGCGGTGCGTGGGGGACCATATCGGATGCCAGGGATCAACCCGGTTCCACCTCATGTGAAGTAAGCGCCCTACCAGCTGGACTATCGCTCCAGCCCCGATTCTAATGTTTTTGCAAAGACCTCTGACCATGAAGATCTGAGTTGCTCAGTGAGAGGTGTAAGTAGATGAAATCACCACAGCCAAGAAGAAATGGGCAGGCAGCCTCCAGAACACTCCTGGGCGGGGGGCTGGAGGGGGAAGGGGAGAAAAGGAAGGGACAGGACAAGACCGGCTCACCTCGGCAACTCTTCCAGCTGGAAAAATCCATCACTGGTGATCCCCAGGCTGGCCCCTAGGCAGGAAAAGGCAAAGGAGATAGTCACAGGCCCAGGTATTCTTTGAAGAGTCGCCTCTGACGCACACCCGGCGCTCTGGGTCAGGACTCGCTGTTGGAACTAGTTTCGCGGCTCTGCATGCACTCAGGAGCTCAACCCCGGTCTGAGTCAAGCTTGTTGTTTTCTCTAGGAAGAGGCGCGGCTCAGGCACTGAGGCGGGAGCACTCCTCCGCTCATGGGAGCATTCCGCTGCCCCGGGCCTGGCCGCCTTCCCTGCGGCCCTCCAAAGCTTTCCCTTCACTGTCCCAAGACGTCACTCTGGGTTTGCTCCCCTTGGGTCCAAGCCCTCTTTTCTAACTCTTCCCCCATACAGTTCCACTCTGCTTCAATCTCAGTGTATTCAAAGTGGAGCTTTTCCTCCTTTTGGCTTCTGAGCCACCTGGGGCGGTGATCAGGGTTTACTCCTGGCAGGGGGCTGTGCCAGGAAGCGCCAGGTCTGCCATGAGCAAGGCAAGCACCTTATATTCTGGACCATCTCTCGGTCCTTTTAACTCTTTCCTACATCATCAGTTCTCAAACTATATTACACTTGGCCAAAGCCAAGACACCATGATTAAAGGGCACACGGGGAGGTGGGGTGATGACGTGCCTGGCCTGTCTGAGGACCCAGTCCCATTCCTGCCACTGCCTGGCTCCCCAGCACCGTGGAAAGAAGGAGCAGGGGCCCTGCACCATGGAGCACAGCAGCCCTGGCGGCCCCTGAGCACAGCGGGCTGTCCCAGACGATCTCGGCACGGCAAGGCCCGAGCAGTGCCACCTTCTCTGCCCTCACGTTGAGCCCCTGTCCTGCTTGGCTGATACTGTGAGGGGGCCCCATGGAAGGGGCTCAGGGCCAGGGAATAGCGCACCTTAGAGCACAGACTCCGCAGGCAGGAATCCTGGGTTCAATCCCCAGCAACACCGGATCCCCTATCACCAGCAGGAGTGACCCCTGAGCACCACCAAACGTGGACCCCAAACCACTGAAAGCGATCTTTTCTGTCTTTGTTGGGTTCAGGGGCCACATCCAGAGGTGCTCCAGGCTCACAGCTGGCTGGACACCAAGGATCAATCTTGGCAGAGCTCTGGGAACCACACAGGGCACGGGGATTGAGCCCGGGTGGCTACATGCAAGGCTGGCCCACTGTATCCTCCCTCTGTGCTCCACCCCCTACATGACAGATCAACTTTAAAGACTGACAACCTGGGGCCGGGGCAACAGTACAGTTACTAAGGCACGTGCCTTCCACACAGCCAGCCCAGGCTGGTCCCTGAAAACCCTAAATGCACGAGAAGTGATCCCTGAGTGCAGAGCCGGGCATAAGCCCTGAGCATGGCCACATTCATTCATTCATTCATCATCCTGTTATTCGTCGATTGCCTCGAGCAGGCCCCAGGAATGTCTCCATCCTAGCCCTGAGATTATATTCAAGGCTCTTTAGGAGAATGAGACCCATCATTGTTACTGGTATTTGGCATATTGGGTACGCCACGGGGAGTTTGCCAGACTCTGCCGTGTGGGCAGGCTACATTCGATAGCCTGCAAGTTTGTCCAAAGTAGGAATGAGATAAGAAGATGTCATAAAAAGATGTCCTGATAAGATGTCACGAGGCCGCAAATGCGGCCGCGGTTCCGGGAGCTGGATTTTATATTCTCTGAGTCTTGGCCGTTGATGGGATTACACGGCACCAGGGGGCCAGGTGGTGGGTGTGACCCCCGCCTACTGGAATTTGGAGGATCTGGGTGGAGGATGCTCAACTCCAATTCGAGTAGGCTTGGAGATCTCGGCCCCGGAACCCGCGTGGCTTTGTCCCTCTGCCAGTACCTTCATGTGTGCAGAGACCTCCAGGACCAGCCACCACCATACCGAGACCACTCTCCGCACAGCATGGCCACATGTGGCCCCAAAACCTAAATGAATTTTAAAAAACTGAAAAACTAAAATGAAGAAGGCAATCATGGTAGATATACAGATATAAAGCATATAACTATGCTTCCCATTCCCTGAGGTTTATCACCCAGCGGGAGAGAAGGGCCTCTACCTTTTGGTCAAGATCATCCCTGTGTGTGAGAAACAGCAAGGGAGGCAGCTCCGAGGCTACTCGCTGTGGGAGTTTTTCTTAGAAGAGAAAAAAATATGCATAACAAGCGGGTCCCGGGGCTGAGTTCTCCAAGCCTGCTCGGATTGGGGCTGAGCATCCTCCACCCAGATCCTCCAAATTCCAGTAGGCAGGGGTCACACCCACCAACTGGTCCCCTGGCGCCGTGTAATCCCATCAATGGCCAAGACCCAGAGACTATAAAACCCAGCTCCCGGATGGACATTTTATCATCTCATTCCTACTTTGGATAAACTGGCAGGCTATCGACTGTAACCTGCCCACACGGCAGAGTCTGGCAAACTTCCCGTGGCATACCCAATATGCCAAATACCAGTAACAATGATGGGTCTCATTCTCCTAAGCCTGAAAGAGCCTTGAATATGGCACTTTTTTAAAAATCTTAGGGCTAGGATGAAGGAGACGTTACTGGGGCCTGCTCGAGGCAATCGACGAACAACAGGATGGTCGTGATCGTGAACAAGAGGGCTAATCAAGTGATAGGTTTCTTTCCCTCAGTCCCAACAGTAAACAGAGGTCAGTGTGGTTCTGAAGGGCTGAGTCGTGGGGCCCTGGGTAAAGCTCCAGCACTGCCCAGCTCCTGAGCACTGCTCGAGGGCCAGATGAGGGACACTCACTATACACACCACTCAGCACATGTATATTCACACACGTACACACATATTCACACATCCAGACACTCACGTCCTCGCACGCACACTCACACCCTGCAGAACCTGAGCTGCAGTTACACGCACTCACTGCCTCGGCCCAGATGAGGCACCGTGAGGACATCCCGGCTCTGGGTCCTTCCTCAAGGCCGTGTCCGAGAGACTCGGCACAGCGGACCCCTGGGAACGCTCGCCGGGGCCCGACACACCAGCAGCAAATCCCTCTGGTCGGCATGAAACACTCTGCCTTGGGACTCACCCGGGATCTGGCTCTCCTGCGGGCGTGAGGGCACCCCGCCTGTGGCGATCAGGATGTGTGGGGCCGTGTACTTGACCCCGTTGACCTCGATCGTGGGCCTGGAATCGTTGGTGAAGGCTGCGTGGCCGTGAATGATGTCTATATGGGACTGGAGGATGCGAGAGAATGTTAGCCTGGCCTGAAGGCTAAACGGGAGGAGAAAAACCGAGTGCCTGCCTTGCCAGTGGCGGTCCCGGGTTCAACCTTGCACCACACACACACTGACAGAGGGCCCAGGAAGCGGCTCACAGGGACAGAGTGTGCACCTGGCATGCACGAGACCCTCAGCTCAATGCCCAGCATCCCGTAGACCCCTGAGCACTGCTGGGCCCGTGAAGCTGCCACCAAGTGCTGGGTGAGGAGAGGCCCAGGGTCCAAGCAGAGCTGGAGAAGAGGAGTGGCGGGGAGGAGAGGGGAAAGCGGACAAGGGTGGGGGTTGGGGGGACACTGGAAGGGGAGAGGAGAGGAGGGCAGAGAAGGGAGGGAAAGAAGCCAGCTGCGGCCGCTTCCGGATCTCTCCATTTCGACTGAGGATTGCGATTTTTGGCTGGCCAATGCCAAAGCAGCTCTTCTTTTCTGTCACTCTATAAAGCTGTCTACTGTGGCTTAATCTACCCACACACCCCCCGCCCCCCAGAAAAAGTATTTCCCAGGTATTAAGAACCCCGTTCTAAGGGCTGGAAAACACACACTACAGCCGGGAGCCCCTATTTTGAGTCCCAGAGCAGCACCAGGTGCAGCCCCCAAACAAACAAACAAAAACAGATTGACAACAACAACAGCAAAAGCTATTTCTTTAAGGGCCAGGAGAACAGTCCACGCGTAGGAAGCTGGCCACAGTCGTGGGGGAGTGCAGTTAGGATGGAGAAGGAACCACTATGATAATGGTAACTGGCAATGATCACTCTGGACGGGAGCACTGAGTGTGGAAAGGAGGTAAACTGACATTGCATGACAACCTTTCAGGAACAGTACTGCAAACCACAGTGCCTAAAAGGAAGGGAGGAGAGAGAGAAGGGAAAGAGAGGGGAAAGAGACAGAGAGGAGAAGAGAGAGAGAGAGAGAGAGAGAGAGAGAGAGAGAGAGAGAGAGAGAGAGAGGAGAAAAGCGTCTGCCATAGAGGCTCTCTGGGGTTGGGGGATGGAGGGAGGGAAACTGGGGTCATTAGTGGTGGGAAATGCACACTGGTGAAGGGACGATGTTGGAACATTGTATGATTGAAACCAAATGACCAACAACTTTGCAACTGTGTATCTCACAGTAATTCAATCAAAAAAGAGATTTTAAACGTTTCTTTTGGGGGCTTGCCTTGCACTTGGCAAGTGTGGTCCAACCCCCAGCACAGCATATGATTCCCCAAGGGATTACCTCCAGGAGCAAGCCCTGAGCACAGTCAAATAAAAGAAAGGAGCTTCTGTCTTATTGGTGGGGAGGGAGGCCGGCATACTAGCAGTGCTCAGGGTTTACTACTGGCTCTGCACTCAGGAATCTCTCCTGGCAGTGATCTGCTGACCACACAGGATGCTGGGGATCAAACGTGTCTTCCTCAAAAGAGAAGAATCACCCCAAGGCCAAGTCAATCCACTGGGCACTGGACCGGTGGTAAAGTGGCGGTCAGATTTAGCTTCCAGGTAGGTACCTGGGGATTACAATCAACCGCCAGACAGGTACTAGTATGCAAATGCGGGCAATTCACAGGGACAATGAAGTGTAAGCCTGATCAGAGAAGAATGTTTAACAATTCAAAAGATGCTTTATCTCCTCTTTCCAATCAGCCCTCCAGGCCTGTTCCCACAGAAGCCCAGCTTAAACCAAACTGAATCCTCCGCCCCCCCCACCACCACCTTTAAGTACTGCCTGTGCAGTGCAGAGAGGACCCAAAACAATATATACAAGCAACAATATACATGGAGTGTGGGGGAAATGACTGTGGGGTATCATACCAGCCGGCGGAGCTCACACACACACACACACATACACGTACAAATGACTGTGGGGTATCATACCAGCCGGCAGAGCTCGCGCGCGCGCACGCGCGCGCGCACACACACACACACACGCGTACTCCACACTGAGCCTTAGTCCTGCCCCAAGATGGAACTGAAAATTTTCCTTTCCTAGAAAATTTGATGGTATGTTTCCTGTCCTCCTCAGGACATCTGGATCCACTGAAAGTGAATTTTACCCTGAGAGCATAGTTAATTCTACCATGTACCAGGATTTGTGATACTTAAAAACGCATTTATCGGGGCTGGAGCAAGAGCACAGCGGGAAGGGAATTCTCCTTGCATGCGGCCCAACCCGGGTTCGATTTCCCAGCATCCCATATGGTTCCCTGAGCACCGCCAGGAGTAATTCCTGAGTGCATGAACCAGGAGTAACTTCTGTGCATCGCCGGGTGTGACCCAAAAAGCAAAAAAAAAAAATTTCTCCAAGGGGCTGAAGCGGCGTTTGTTTATCAGGAGGCCAACCTGGGGTTAATCCCTGGCACCCATTATGGTCCCTAAGCCCGGCCAGGAGTCCTCTCTGAGCACAGAGCCAGGACAGCCCTGAGTACTGCTGGGTGTGTCTCCAAAACAAAACCACCACCAAATCGTGCTGTTTCCAGGCAGAGATACACGGCATAAGGGGTCGAGCACATGCCTGGCATGCGGGAAGTGAGGGCTCGGTCTGTGGCTCCACACAGTCCCAAGCCTGCTGGGAGTGACCCACAAAGAGAGAGCGGGGGTAGCAGAATCCCCCACCCACCCCCCAGCACAGCCCCCAGACAGAGCAAAACAGCATCAGAAGAGCAAAGGACATCACAGTAGCTGGTAGGCGCACACCCCCACACACTCCCGGCAGACGTTCCTGACCAAGCTTCATTCTTACAATCTTTTGAACTGGGCCAGGGGTGCAGCCTAGTGGTGAAGCACAACACCTGGCTTCAATCCCCAACACCACACACCAAAAGCCCACTTGTGATGGGGCTGGAGCGATAGCACAGCGGGTAGCGTGTTGGCCCTGCACGCGGCCGACCCAGGTTTGATTCCCAGCATTCCATAGGGTCCCCTGAGCACCACCAGGAGTAATTCCTGAGTACAGAGCCAGGAGTAACCCCTGTGCACTGCTGGGTGTGACCCAGAAAGAAAAATAAATAAATAAAACCCACTTGTGGAGCATAATCCGTAATTTGGTCTCCTGGGATGATCTAGAACAAGAGTGGCCTAAGTGTGCCCAGAGAGAGGGAGAGCTAATCGCTCCTGGTACCATACCACCATGGCCGCGCCAGGCACTGAACCCCGCTGGGGCACTGAATCCCGCTGGTGGAGGATTCTCGGCAGTGGCCAGGATGCACCGAGCACTGTTGGGAAGGCTGGCCGCCCCGTGCGCCCCAAACAAGACCGATCTGAGCAAACAAGGCAGATGATGCAGCTGGTCCCCTGGCCATGCCTGCTGTTCGGTTTCTGGAGCCAAGTGGAGGGTCGGGAAAGCCAAGCTACCAGGTGAGACCTGGTCTCCGCCCCTCTGGAATGATCAGACAGGCTACTGAATTGAGGGTTTCTGCATGCACAGGCCCCTCGTCCAAAGCACCACCCAAGGGCTGGAGGGCGAGCTCACCAAATCTCGGACCACTGAAGAACCTGCACAGGGTAGTCTGGCCTGACCCGAGTCCCTCCAGCAGAGCCCACACCGCCCCCTGTAAGTTCCAAACGCAGTGTACTCACCTTGGTGAGGTTGTTTTGGTAGATGCTGTTCAGGCGGCTCACGTAGGCGTCTCGCTTTTCCTTTATCACACTGCAAAGAAACCTGAGTCAGTACTGAGGAAGCTGACTGGGGCGGGGGCGGGGAGGGGGGGCGGGGAGCAGGCAAGAGGAGCACAAAGCACTGAGCACCAACTTTGCAAGCAGTAGCCTCTGGCCTGACCCCTGACCCTGCCACAGGGAGTAGCACCACTGGGTGCAAGCAAAAAAAAAAAAAATTGAACAGATCGATGTAGAATAAGCCAATGCAAAGAGACAGGGAGCGGGGCTGGAGTGATAACACAGCGGGTAGGGCGTTTGCCTTGCACATGACCTAGCCGGGTTCGATTCCCAGCATCCCATGTGGTCCCCTGAGCACTGCCAGGAGTAATTCCTGAGTGCAGAGCCAGGAGTAGCCCCTGTGCATCACCAGGTGTGACCCAAAAAGCAAAAAATATACTAAAATAAATACATGAAAATAAAATATTTGGAAAAAAAAAAGAGACAGGAAGCAGGAGATACTCGAAGCTGAAGGACAGGGGATAAAAGGCCACTGTTTAATGGGTATAGCTCCTGTTACAGGAAATAGTGATGACGGTAATACAGCATATTTGAACCTATTTGATTCAAATAGGCAACACGGAATAATATGCGTAAAATAGCTAAAAAGGCTTTATCACGCGTATGAATTCAGAGTGGACAGCTGTATTCCACATTACCTATGGAAAAAAAAAACACCCTCAAGAGTCGTGTCTGAGTTCTAAAGGAAAACAGAAATCATGCAAGATAATTGCGTAGTAACAGATAATGATCTTCAAATCACAAATCATGCGTGGGCCTTATCAGGGCAGCGAGGCACGGTGTTAGAGTGTAAGCATTCCATGTCCGAGACCGTGGTTTCGATTCTCAACACAACAGAACAAAGCAAGCACTTTCCTGAGGCACAGTAAAGATGAGTTGGGGAGACAGCAGAGCGGCGAGAGCACTTGCCACAGAGGTTCCATCCCCAGGACTGCATACAGCCCCCTGAGCAGGGCCTAGAGTGACTCATACACCGGAACAAAGCAAAAAAACAGCTGGACGGGGTAGAGGCTGTGACTCAGTGGTACAGTATGTGCCTTGGATGGAAGGCCCTGGGTTCTCTCCCTGGCACCGTGCCATCACCTTTAAAAGTTTATATAATTTATGTTTTTTACTACAACAATACTTCTCTCAAAAAATCTCACTCATAAGGGCTGGAGTGATAGCACTGCGGGTAGGGCGTCTGCCTTGCACGTGACCAACCCGAGTTCGATTCCCGATATCCCATATGGTCCCCTGAGCACCGCCAGGAGTAATCCCTGAGTGCATGAGCCAGGAATAACCGCTGTGCAATACCAGGTGTTACTCAAAATGCAAAAAAAAAAAAAAAAAGACAAAGAAAAAAATTTGACTCATAATAATGAAAAACGGTAGTTTTCTTGATATATCAATACCCTCACAGCCTTAACTTACCGCCAGTTGAATTTACTCTCACAGTTCTGAAAGCCGTAATCGACGTGATCGTGTATGAATTCAGAGTGGACAGCCGTATTCCACATTACCTATGAAAAACAAACACCCTCAAGAGTCGTGTCTGGGTTCTAAAGGAAAACAGAAATCACGCAAGATAACTGCGTAGTAACAGATAATAATCTTTACATCACAAATCAAACATTCTCAAAGAGAAACATCAGACACAAGATTAGAAAGATTTTCGGGTGAAGTTAACGAAAGTTGAGAAAAACTGCTTCTGTGATTAAACTTTCTAGTTTATAAAGTCTTGAGCAAAAAATAATAAAACTTGGAGCAGAAATGAATGAACTGGAATTTAAAAAAATCCAAAAGATTAATGAACATGTTTGTCAGGATCTATCTTACAGTGATTCAATGAAAAAAATATTTTTTAAAATGCCCCAGGGGCTGGAGTGATAGCACAGCGGGTAGGACATTCGCCTTGCACGCGGCCGACCCAGGTTCTATTCGATTCCCAGCATCCCATATGGTCCCCCGGGCACCGCCAAGAGTCATTCCTGAGTGCAGAGCTCGGAGTAACCCCTGAGCATCGCGTCCCAACAACCTTTTCCTACATAATAAAGTAAAAATTCTCTTCTGAAAAAGAAAACAAAAACATAAAATCTTGACAAGCCAAATATGTGGGCTAGAGAGAGTACAAATGACCGAGGAGCTCAGCGTGCAGATGGTCGGCCCGGCGTAATCCCCAACACCTCGCATGGTTCACTGAGGAAATTCCAGGGCTGACTCCTGAGCACAGAGCTAGAAGAAAACTCTGAGCATCACTGAGTGTGCTCCCCCCGGCTCTCGAGGAGCTGCAGAGAAGCTTTTCCATTAAATGTTTTGCTCCAGGCTGGGGAGATGACTGGAAGGGACGTTTTGCGTGCAGACTCTCCCGTTCCACAGTGATCTCTGGATACCAGAGGATGTGGCCCCCGAATAAAAAGACAAACAAAACAATATTACTCCTTATTACTCTTTCCGAGTTTCTGCTGTAAGCCCTGCTTTTTGCAATTAGTTCTTGGAAATGGAATTGCATATGTAGCTAGCTGTACAGCGACGTGACTCAGAGGGTGCCCGGAACAAAGATGAAGACCGGAGGATTCACGGAGATTACTTCGCAGTGTGTGTCCTGCAGCAACAAGCACGGCCTTGCAGGAATGTGCGTGAGCCTCTGGAGCAAGAGGACTGATGCACTCACGTGGAATGTATCATAAAACCCGTAAACGCCTTTGATGGAGAATGAGCATCACCGCGCCGACACACTGGCACCGACTCACAGAGCACCTCCCACTTTTTGTTCCTCTTTTTGTTTTGGGGTCACACTCAGAGATGCTCAGGGGTTACTCCTGGCTCTGCATTCGGAAATTCCTCCTGACAGTGTTCCGGGGACATACGGGGTGCCGGGGTTGGAATCCAGGCTGGCCACGTGCAAGGCAACTGCCCTACCCACTCGGCCCCTCCTGACTCCCTTCAAGGCTGAAAGTGCTTAATTAGTAAGTCCGTCACAGTTCTCTATGGAGCTGACATACACAGAGTATAGGATTAGTCATTTTATACAGGAGATTTGTTCTGCGCCCCACCCAGAGGTCAAGCTCGAGGGTTCCAGAGCTGCTCAGCCTTGAAGGGCTGGGCAGCACGTGGGCCATCGTGGTGACACTCAGACTCCCTGAACACTGCTTGGGGACCACCGAAGCCAGGGTTCACACAGTCCCAGCACGCATGCAGCCACAGCCCTGATGGCTGAGATCTCACGCCAGCTCCTCTGCTAGATCCTTCAACTTAAACAATGTCTAAAAAAGAGTCACCGGGGGCTGGAGTGATAGCACAGCGGGTAGGGCGTTTGCCTTGCACGCAGCCAACATGGCCGACCTGGGTTCGATTCCCAGCATCCCATATGGTCCCCCGAGCACCGCCAGGAGTGATTCCTCAGTGCATGAGCCAGGAGTGACCCCTGAGCATTGCCGGGTGTGACCCAAAAAGCAAGAAATAAATTAATTAATTAATTTAAAAAAAAAGAGTCACCAATACTGCAATAAATTATTTGACTATCGATGCCTGTCCAAAGGTGCAAAAAGGTTGAAAATCACTGACCGAGGGTCAGAGATGAGTCAGTGAGGGTTTTGCATGTCGGAGGCCCAGGTTCAATCCCTAGCACCACATTTGCACCCTTAAAGCACCACTGTTCGTGATCCCTAGGCACCGAGACAGAAGCTGGATGTGACCAAATCGAAAAGCAATGGACAAGAGGATTTCCCCACCCTCAGAGGAGAAGAGGGAAGCCTCAGGGGGTCCACAGAGAGGCGTTCCCCCCAGACAGAAGGTGTTCCAGGGGACGGCAGCATGTACCAGCAGTAGAAGTAAATGAATACAGTATCTTGTGATACTGTAATACCATAGGATGGTTTAAAGGTGCAATGATGCTTCTTGGGAATGAGGGGTCGGGGCCCAGACAGACAATTCACTTAAGCCGCTTGCTTGGCATTACACTGACCCTGACACAGCAAGGAGTGGCCTCCAATTACAAGCCCTGGGCACCCCCAGTCACTTCAAGATTATGAGGCAGTTTGAAAGTACATTCTGTGTTTTAAAAATGCAAAATGACTACAAACAAAACAGACCAAAAAAAAAAAAAACCCAACTCATAGTGCATCTTTGCAGAAGCAGAAGTTTTAGTCTCCCCTGAAAAGACTCAACTTGGAGGGAATGATTGGACGGGGGGTGGGACACTTTGTTCTGTACATGGCCAACCTGAGTTCAATCCTCGGCACGCCATCATGGTCCTCCAAACCCTGCCAAGGGTGATGCCTGAGTGCAGAACCAGGACAAGGTCCCGAGTATCACCGAGTGTAGACCCCCCAAATCACAAAAACCAAGGAAAGAGGAAAAGAAGAAAAACTGCATTTGGAGTTGAACTAGGTAGGGGCGGGGAGACGGCTCAGCGGTAAGGCCTGTGCAGCAGGCAGGTACTGAGAAGGTATGGCCTGAGCACCCGGCTCTCCCCTCCCCCACCTGGGGTGATGCCCCACATGCCATATGCGAAAGGGGGCCACTCAGCCCCATGGGAGCAGCACTCAGGCAGAGGTCAGGGCTGTACTGCCCATCTTGGCAATACTGGGGAGGACATCCGGATATTTTTTATTGAGGGGAAAAAAAACCCAACTTATTTCTGTACTAGATCTTCCGCCGAGAAAAGTCACCGCAGACAGGCCGACGGCCATCAGTGCCTCAGCTACACACAGTTTGCTGGTTTGGTTTTTGGTTTTGGACCACACCTAGCTGTGTTCTCACAGCTTCCTCCTGAGGGGCTCAAAGGACCTTCTGAGACGTCAGGGATGGAACATGCAGGGCTCGTGTCCTCAGGTCTATCTCTCCAGCCCCGTTTCTTAGGGGTTTTTTTGTTTTTTAACTTTATTCTTTTCAAGCAGCAGAATTTTGAGGCCAGATACTGTGCTGCCTTCCTGGAACTTTCCATCATCAGCCCACATGCGCTCTCTGCAGGATGAATTTCTTTTGCAAAATACACTGAAGTGATCAGGAGCTGATATTTCTGGGGGTCTCTGCCCGGTAGCCCCATTCGCCCTGTCTCCCTGCAAGGGAACCTGGTTCTGGCCGGGAGAACCCGGAGCAATCAGCAGGCACAGCTTACTGAGTGACCCGCCTGGAGCTCCGTCCAAGGCCGGGGGTGGGTTCACTGTGGGTTATGCACAGGATATCCACATGGAAGGAAGGATGAGAGAACCCTGGGTCCTTTGGGAAGGTACGTGCTAAGGAACCAGGCTTAGAAATGATCTCTTCACTTGCTTCTTAGTAAGGGTCACTAGCATCGAGCCAATAGCAGACCTGTTTCTCCCGGGCACCGGGCAGTTCCCTGAGTTCCTTGAGCACAACTGAGTACAAACCCCCACCAAAAAATATAAATAAAATTAGTGACATTAAAATGGAATATCCTTGGGACTGAAGAGGCAGTACTGGGGTTTAGGTGTTTGTTTACTGCTGTCAGCAAGGGTTTGACCCGGCAGGAGTGATCCCTGAGCAGAGTCAGGAGGAAGCTAAAAAACAAACAAAAGAGGGCGAAGAAACTTGCTCTGCATGCTGCGGCCCCGGGTTTGATCCCCAGCACCACCTGGTTCCCTGAGAACTGCGGGCAGCACTGCCAGGTGTGGTCCAAATCAACCCCCCAAATAAATCACAACCACAATCACAAATCATCCTGTTATTCGTCGATTGCCTCGAGCAGGCCCCAGTAACGTCTCCTTCATCCAAGCCCTGAGATTATATTCAAGGCTCTTTAGGAGAATGAGACCCATCATCGTTACTGGTATTTGGCATATTGGGCACGCCACGGGGAGTTTGCCAGACTCTGCCGTGTGGGCAGGCTACATTCGGTAGCCTGCCAGTTTGTCCAAATAAAATAAAAATAAGCCCATTGTTGGAGCAATAGCACAGCGGGTAGGGCGTTTGCCTTGCACGCATCTGACCTGGGGTTCGATTCCCAGCATCCCATATGGTCCCCCATGCACCACCAGGAGTAATTCCTGAGTGCAGAGCCAGGAGTAACCCCTGTGTATCGCTGGGTGTGACCCAAAAAGCAAAAAAAAAAAAAAAAAAAAAAGGGCCCATTGCTTATTCCACATTGAGCTGAGTTCTGTTATTTCACCTAGAAAGAAATTTAACTAGTGCATTTGGAAACATGGTTACTCTGATCATAAATTAACGAATGTGTGAAAGCCTGGAAAGAGAAGAAATAAAAACTTACCTTTTTGGGCACACATCCAACATTCACCTGGGGGAAAAAGGGAAATATTTTAAGAATGTTATACTCCAACCATCAAGCAATCCCACAGCCTGGCTGTCCTCGCCGGGGCCCCTTGGAGGGGTGCGGGTTGAGTTTCCCTCCCCGCCCCGACCAGGGCTCCGGCAGCCAAAGACCTCCAGAACCAGCCACCACCATGCTCAGACCACTCTCCACATGCATGAAGGTACTGGCAGAGGAACAAAGGCATGTGGGTCCCGGGGCTGAGCATCCTCCACATTCCAGTAGGCAGGGGTCACACCCACCAAATGGCCCCCTGGCGCCGTGTAATCCCATCATCGGCTAAGACTCAGAGACTAAAAACCCAGCTCCCGGAAGCGCGTGGCCACATTTTCTCATTCCTACTTTTGGACAAACTGGCAGGCTACCAAATGTAACCTGCCCACACGGCAGAGTCTGGCAAACTCCCCGTGGCGTACCCAACATGCCAAATACCAGTAACAATGATGGGTCTCATTCTCCGAACTCTGAAAGAGCCTTGAATATGGCACTTTTTAAAAAAATCTCAGGGCTAGGACGAAGGAGACGTTACTGGGGCCTGCCCGAGGCAATCGACGAACAACAGGATGGTCGTGATACTCCAACCATCAAGCGATCCCACAAACGGCTGAGCCTGGATCACGCCGTGCTGGAGACTTGATGCAAGCCCAGAACAGGGAGGGGAGTCTGGAGACAGGACAGTGGCCTCCTGTTCTCACTCATTGTGGCAGAAAGGCAGGAAGGCTGTGCTCCTTACAGCATGGACTGATGGTGTCACTCATCAGCGTCTTCTCAAGCAAACCGGCCTTGCACTGGACCAACCCCAGGTCAGCCCCTGGCACCACACGGTCCCTTGAGCACCACCAGCAGAGCTGGGGACAGTCCTAAGCATTGTACAGTATGAACCAAAGTCACCCCAACCCTCCCTCTGCTCTAAGAAGAGTCTGAGAGTGAGACCTGCAGCCCCTGGGCAGGGCCCGGTGGGGGAGGGAGGAGCCTGAGAGGGGCCCCCCCGCCAGAGCAGCGGTCCTGTGATTCCTGGAAACAGACAGGGTGTGCCCTGAGCCAGACCCCAGGATGTCCCACTACAGGACTCCCAGTGGAAGGCTCCCTCCTGCCTCGAGGCCCCTCAAGGCCTAGGCCGGGGGGACAAAACTGCGAGACAGCATAGTGGGGAGGGTTTGTCTGGCACACAGTAGACCAGGTTCAATCCCCTGCATCCCACAGGGTCCCCGGAGCACCACCAGGAGTGATTCCTGAGTTTAGAGCCAGGAGTATCCCCTGAGCATGGCCAGGTGTGGCCCGAAAAAACAAAAGCAAAGAAAAAACCCTGTGAGCTGTGATGGTTCACCCACGCTGAGGGCGTTTCTGGGGGTGTCAGAGATAAGCCGCGGATCTGACTCAGCCACTGAGCGGCCAACAGACAAAGGAAAGAAACAGTTGTGAGACTGCACATCACAGTCCTGAGAGAGAACAGGGGCTCGGGCGTTAAGGCCAAACAGCACAGCAAGGACCATAAGCACTGCCAGCAGCATGGGCCCACCCCGCAAAAAAGATTTCACATAAGAACAAGTTGAGGTCCGGGAGAGAGCAGCTTGGGTGGAAAGGCTCACGCAGGAGGCCCCAGTTTGGTGTCCCCAGTGGGGACATGCAGGGCACCCTTGCTCCAAGCCCCAACCTAGCAGCCTGCATAGTGTGGAGTGGCACTGGGCCCCTATCACAAAACAAACAGGTGGGACGTGAATGAAACTCCTCAGGGGAATACGTCCCTCCATGCGTGAGGCCCTGGGTTCTATCCTCAGCACTGGAAAAATCAAAAATCAAAAATTTCTGTAACAAACAGGTCCAGGGCGAGAATTAAAAACACTGGCGCACACGCCTGGCATACACGAGGCCCAAAGTTTGGTCCCTGGCACCACAGATCCTCTAAGCGCTGCCAGGATGGCCCTGGTGGTCCCATATACCTCCAGACCTGACAACTGATCAGTTTGACCCAAACAATTGGGCTAAGTATCACCAGACTCCTGGGTCACCTTCTTCAAACAAAACAAAACCTGCCTAACAAATTATTGATGGGGGCCAGACCAGAGCAATAGTACAGGGAGAGTGTTTGTCTTCCACACAGCCAACTTGGATTCGAACCCCACATCCCGTATGATCCCCCGAGCACCACCAGGAGTAATTCCTCAGTGCCGAGCCACGAATAACCCAAATATCCCCAGGAATGCAAAGCCCCCACAAAAAACCCAAGTTATTTATGGGGGAAAAAAAAACACAACTACCCAGGCATATCAGACAAGAGAGAAAGTCCTTCCAAAACTCCTGTAAACAAGCTGTGATGATCATTTTAACAAACTGTTTCCTTTTGCTCCGATCCTAAAATTTTTAACTCAAAAAACAAAACACATAAAACCAGAGCGAGATTGATTACACAATTACAAGCTGTACTTGATGAAATGGTAACTGGTGTGCCCCAGCAGAGAAGCAAATGGTAGAAGGTAACTCACTTCAGAAGGACAAACTACAAGTGGGCAATGGTCGAAGGGTAACTTAGATATTGGTCAATTTCATCAAAAGCCCTGAAATATAAGACACATTGTACAGAATATTGATGCTGAGTAAGATTTTAAATACGTGTTAGATCTCACAAAAATGACTACTTCTAGACATTTAGCCTAAAGAAGTAATCTAAGAGATAGAAAAGTTAAATGCATAAAGATAACCATGTCTAAACACATACTCAGGAATAACTATTTTTCCTAGTACTAGATATTATATAAAAAAAAAAACTGGGGCCAAAGAGATAGTACAGCAGGTAGGGTACTTTCCTTGCATGTGGCCAACCCAGGTTCAATCCCCGGTACCCTATATGGTCCCTTGAACACTACCAGGAGTAATTTCTGAATACAGAGCCAGGAATAATCTATGATGAAGGAGACAGATATATAAAATAAGAAGCCTCTTCCCCAATTGCTGAGGGAAACAGGAAAAGAAAGAGAAAGAGAGAGGGAGGGAGGGATGAAAGTAAAGAAGGAATGAACCCACAACTTACACCATACACAAAAGTTAATACAAAATGGATTGAAGACCTCAATATTAGACCAGAATCCTGAAAGATATATTGATGAAAACATATGCATATACACCTTAGAGTTGTCATCATTGATTTAAGCCCATTGGCAAAGACAACAAAACCCAAAATATACTAACAGAACTACATCAAACTAAAATAACTTCGTGGGGCCAGAGTGATAGTACAGTGGGTAGGGCATTTGCCCTGCATGCGGTCAACCCAGGTTCGATCCCCAGCATCCCATATAGTCCCCCAAGTACTGCCAGGAATGATTCCTGAGTGCAGAGCCAGGATTAACCCCTGAGCATTGCTGGGTGTGGCCGAAAAAGCCAAAAAAATAATAATAATAAAATAACTTTGCGTGGCAGAAGAAACCTGGGCTTAAATTAAAAGACACCCAACTGGATAAGAAAAAAATAATTGCATACCATAGGTCTGAAAAAGGGTTAATGTCTGAGAGACATAAAGTGTTCACAAAATGTAACCCCATTCAAAAAAAGGGATGAGGGGCTGGAGGAGGAGCGGAGAGGGCGTTTGCCTTGCATGCGGCTGACCCAGGTTCGATTCCCAGCATCCCAAATGGTCCCCTGAGCACCGCCAGGAGTGATTCTTGAGTGCATGAGCCAGGAGTAACCCCTGTGCATCACCGGGTGTGACCCAGAAAGAAAAAAAAAAAAGGATGAGTAGAAGAAATGACACTTTCCCAAAGACATACAAACGGACCACAGGCATGCAAAAAAGTGTTCCTCCTCACTGCTGTGACACGGAATTTCTTACACCAGTGAGAATGGCAGATGCCAAAAGCGAGACCGGGTAAGTGGAGGTGCTTGCCTGGCACCCAGCAGAGAGGTCTGAGACTCCAGCACCACGTGGTGTACTTGACAAATGGTGACCACTGAGGTGACCTAGTAGAGGAGCTAACAGCAGAAGGAAACTCTTTTTTTCAATATCTGACCCCCCCTGGACAGTGTCAGGGAACATTCCAGGAATGTGGGTACAAAAGAACCCTTATCCACTACTGGTGGGAACTTCATTTGCTTCAGTCTCTCTGGTAAACAGTTTGGATACTTTTTTTGGGGGGCGGGGGGGGTGCCACACCTGGCGGGGCTCAGGAGTAGCTGCTGGCTACCTTTTTTTTTTTTGCTTTCTGGGTCACATCCGGTGATGCACAGGGGTTACTCCTGGCTCATGCACTCAGGAATTCCTCCTGGCGGTGCTTGGGGGACTCTAAGGGGTGCCAGGGATCGCAGTGGGTCGCACACATGGAAAGCAAAGGCACGACCCCCTGTACTATCACTCCGGCCCAACAGTATGGAGACTTTTTAAAAAAGACTTGAGCTTCCATAGGACCCAACAATTCCACCACTTGGCATCTACCACAAAACACAAAACCATTCATTTGAAAAGACATCTACACATCTATGTTTATCCCAAATCTAAGAACAGTCAGGATATGGCTATAATCCAAACACCCACCAATAGAGGAATGAATAAAGAACCTGTGGTTTGGGGGCCAGAGAGAAAGTCTAGCAGATGAGGCTCTTGCTGGGCATGTGCCTTACCCGGGTTCAAATCACAGCACCCAAGACATTAAAAAAAAAAAAAAGGAAGGAAGGAAGGAAGAAAGGAAGGAAGGAACCAAAACTAACAAAGTGATGCTCCCTCTACGACTGTGAACTTGGACTTTTTAATAAGGTTATGTTACATACAGAAAAGATTCATCAGTCAACAGAAGCAGGAACTTAGAAATTAAAGGGTTGTGGCGGGGTGATAAGTTCAAGTCTAATTAAAAATAAAAAGATGGGGGATACGCTCCTAGAGCAGAATTACAAGCACTTACAAGCACATTCCTGGGAAAGTGCCATCCCTTAGCAATCAGTGGCTTTATGGTTCTCCCGCCCGCCCTCCCCTCTGAGTA